GGATTTCTAGCATCGTGGACACTGGGCTTTACAACACTGCCAGTAGCTGCATTCAGCGGACTCAACAGTTGAGTGAACGTTCGCTGCTATTGACGTATTCTTCTAGATCTAAAATTATGATTGGATGATCTAAAAGAATACACCAATAACAGCGAGCGCTCACTCAACTGTTGAGTCCGCTGAATGAGCCCATTGTGACATGTCTACTGTATATATGTTTATTATGTTGTTTCCATTTTTTCCTCCAATTTTTTTAAGAATTGTAGAATACAGATAGATGTTACAGTTTTTGTGATGGTGTCAACAGAGTACAATTTTAATGATATTATATTAATGACATATATCGCTGTAACGTATGTATATTACATACAACACGCGAATTAAGAGTTTAATAAATATATAATACGATGATTGCTACTTATATCTCGTAATTTGTGAAACAGCAACAATGGACAACGTCAAGTACATTTATCATTTGCCATTTTCCGAACGATCAGAATTTTGTAAAATTATGAACCAAAATGATAAATGGGAGGAGCTAGCAGGTATGTTAGAAGGCAATCCCTTGAAAAATATGTTTGCTTTATGCTAACCTATTAGGCCTATTCTTTTTAGCTATACTTTTGCATCAGTTCATCTTTCTTCCTTTACTCTCTAGAAGGAAAGAAGAGGAAGAAAGATGAACTGTGTGGTGCAAAAGTTCAGTCAAAAAGAACAGGCCTTATTAATCTATTCATCTCTCATTCACCTGCTTTCATGATTCTGTATTATATTATGCTTACTTTTTAATATTGCTCCAGTTTTACTTAGCAATAGCCAATTGTTTTTAACAGAATGTACAATAATTTATGTATATTATGTATAAAGCTAGTGCCTTTAATTATATTACTACATTTTTTTATACTAATATAATGTCGATAGGTATTTGGATGCAATATGATGTTTTAACGATACAGAGTTTAAGAAAGGAGAAAAATCCCACAGATGAACTCTTGACGCTATGGGGCCATTTCAATCATACAATAGCAGAATTATTTGTATTATTGTCCAGAATGCAGCATTATCAAGCAATGGTGCCTTTATTACCTTTTGTTGAACAAAGATTTCATCGGCTTTTCTACAATGGAGAAGCCAATTTGCAGAATATGTCACGCAAGCAGTTGGTCAACAAAAATACTAAAGATTTAAAGATTGGTACACAAAACTTTAATCAACGTGCACTGCCGCAGCAAAGTGTCAATAAAATTTTTAATCAACCAACGGCACAATTGGGTATTAGTCCAAGCAACT